ACGATCAACAGCTGACCATTTAACTCAGCTTCTCTCTTACTTTTGCTTCTCTGAGGATGCACCGTAGTCTTGGTGCTGTTTTGGGGTGTCAGAATAGGCACTCCAGGCCCAAGACGGTTGTGGTCACATGCAGATGGAACTCTAACAGGAGTGCTAGCCGAGGAAAGGTTGGTAGGGGTGCCAGGGGATGAGCAGCTTTGCCCAGCTTGAGAAAGTGTACCCACATCAGCAGCGGTAGTGTTTAGTGCCGCTGCAACTGGCCCAGGAGGGAACAGCTGCGTTGAAGTCAAGTCTTTAACTTCAACCGCAATAATCTGCGTGCTGCTGTCGCTGTCATCAATTTGGAGATCATCATCGAGGCCAAAGTACAGAGAATCAGTTTCAACCCCTTCTACTTCGGAAGGTTCGTCAACATCTACAGGACCCTCCTCCTGAGACTCACTGGTCCTTGCCATTGTTGTTTTCGTTCTGAAATAAAACAGAGTATAGACAAAATAAAGTGACAACATACACTGTCCTGATGCACAGTTAAAGTCTTACGAAGCAAAATGCCAAATGCTTCGTACCTAAGGGAGAGCGGGGTACCATGAACATGGGGCACGATGAGCATTTTCAATTTACGCGCCAATGATGTCACCGCCCGCCACCAACCTGTAAGACGTTGATAGGGGGTATGCCAGCGGATGTTTTTATCGAGAGCGCGAAGTCGCACGGCGCGTAAGACGAGAAAGGGAGAGGTTCATAAATTTAAAGAGAGCAATTTAGGTAAATCGAGCATAAAATTTTTCGGGATATTTTTTTTTAGAACCGAATGCTGAGCCCGACAGTACAAGCGACGTTTCCCTGCCTTCTGTAACCTTCTTACTATGAAATACGACTGGACGCGATTTTTTAGAACACCTGAGGTCAACTCAGGTCTCTCTAGGCCCAAAAGTTGTCTTTTGGGGCACGATGAGCAGTTTTTTTCGGGGTACCATGATCATGCAAACGTCAAAACTTTTTATGTTCAAATCGAAATCTGGTTAGTGATTTGGATTCAGCTCGTCGAAAGGAAACGAAAGTGTCTTATTCGCCGAGACGATCGGAGACAAAATGCCAGAGTTATTGACGTACAAAGTGACACTAAGTCATTTTTGGCACTTATTGTCACTTTGCACGTCAATAACTCTTGCATTTTGCCTCCGATCGTCTCGGCGTATAGGACACTTTCGTTTTCTTTTGACGAGCTGAATCCAAATCACAAACCACATTTTGATTTTAACATAATTAGGTTTTGACGTTTGCGGCTGTGAGCTCACACGTTTCCTAGGCGCAGTCTGGAAAAGGGCCGCTTCCCACAGGATTCCCTGGCAATGACACTGTCATAAATCCCTTCGCTGAGTTTCAAAGATTTTTTATTGCGGATTTTTTAGGTGTCTTTCTGGGACACAAATATGCATGATCATCGTACCCCACCAACTGATCATGGTACCCCATAGGTGGGGTACCATGAATATAATGCAGGGTCCCAATATTTTATCCCCAGCTCAGAAATGGTTGAATTGAGAGGAATTATTTCCTAAGCATGTTGTATCTAAGAGATATAGCTCCCACCTGAGCCCATCATCCAGCTGCCATCTACCGCTACAGGGGAGAGAAGGCCTAAGACAAAAAAAGTGATCATGGTACCCCGCTCTCCCTTACGAAGGATTTGCTCCCTACGAAGCGTCCAAATCCTTCGTATTACAAAGGATTTGGCATTTTTCTTCGTAAGACTTTAACAGTGTGGTTAGGAGGGAGAAACGTACCTCCGTTTAGGAATGACGTCATGTAACCACGTCATGTTTTCATAGTATGGCAAAAGTTTTACTTCTCCGGCACCTGACCCACTAAACTGCTTGTCCTCCAGTTCGTTCCGCTGTCTAAAGTAGTTCGTCCGACAAACTCCATATAGCTTTGAACTCCGTTGTAAACAGAACCACATAAAACGAAAGCAAAGTGAGTAGAATTCCAAACTGTACAACTGCGACACTTACTCTTAGTATATTCTGGGTTAGCTTCATAAAACTGTTTGCAAGCTATGATCCACAAGTTAGCCTTATGCTGCTTATCCATGTACCCTTTTAGGGCCGCTTTCACGACGCGCTAAATGGACTTTAAGGGGGGGCGCCGTTAAAGTTAAAGTGACTTTAGCCCGAATTGCGTTTCACCACGCGCTAACGAGACTTTAAGATCGCTAACTGGCAGTTAAATTTAATTGGACGATCTGCGGGCAAATAGCGCTAACTGGGGTCTTGAAAACCGGTTATTTTAAAAGTAAGAAAAGTGAATGCGAGAGATTTTTTGATTTTGAGGGGTATTTGTTACTGTTTTTTCCACAAGTTGGCATTATCCTGCCAATAAGAGTCTGTCGATCCCATCGATCCGTGTATTTGTTTATTTACACCCCGTTTCTGCTCGCTAACCTACACACAATTGTACTGTTTCACCTGAAATTCTACATTATTCACGATTATGACGAACCGACGACACAGATTATCACTCGCACTGCGAGCATGTTCGACCCTAGATGATAGTGATAGTGACGACGACGCGCCAGCCAGAAGACCTCGTCTAATAAAAGAGAGAATGTCTTATTTTGACGATCTTGACGACGTCGATTTCGTGAAGCGGTTTCGCCTCTCAAAGGAAGGTGCCCTCCACGTGCTCGAAAAGATTGAAAACAAAGAGAAGTCTTTTTACACCGATTTAGGTCGGTATGTATCGTCACAGGTCGCTATATTCGCCCCAAAGTCCGACTTTGGTGAAATTCGCGATAAATCCGTGCCCCTGGAGGGTAGGCAACGCACCCAAAGGCATGGTCTGGGGTCCGGAAATATAGACTAGTACTAGAGCAACTAATTTAAGCGGATAGGGTCGGCTTGAGCTTGCTCAGGGCCCAGATACAGACTGAAAAGGCTGAAAATTGCACCCTAGCGTCCGGCTTCCTGGTGTACAGATTGCGGGGGCAGTGGGTACTCCAGTTATGCTGGGAGAGTGCCTCCACTTGAGCTGTTGGAGGCACTACAATGCCACCAAAGTTCATCTGTGAATTAAAAACAATCATCGTGATGAGAAAATAAATTGGATGTGTCTCATAAAGTTTTAAATATGAAGAGCTGGTACTTACCTTGGCTATGTCCTCAGGCTCATAAACAACCTCGTAAGTCGTAACTTCCACGCCCTCGTCGCCCTCTGCGAGCAGCACCCCAGCATTTGCAGGTGCTTCATTAACGTTCAGCTGTTCACCAGACCCCTCTGCAGCGTCCCCTGCA